TTCTGTATGACCAAGCTGTACTTCACCTAGATTATAGCTTCGAGGGTTATTTTCATTACCAAGGGCAAGTACCTTACACTTATCCACATTAAACTTCATCTGCCATTTTTCAGACCAAGACATTAATTTGTTCAAATCGTCCTGGAGTTCATTGATATCCTCCTCAGAGTGAATTTATGGGGCCCTATCTTTGTATCATCAGCAAACTTACTCATGTCACTAGTAATCCCTTCATCAAGGTCATTAATGTAAATTATAAACGGGAGAGGGCCTAAAACTGATCCTTGTGGAACGCCACTAGTGACTAATCCCCATTCAGATTTCACTCCATTAATGGTAACTCTCTGCTTTCTATTGGTAAGCCATGCCTCAATCCATGCTAAACTTTACCTCCTATACCATGAGCTGCCAATTTTCTTAAGAGTCTCTTGTGAGGTACTCTTCGAAGGCTTTACAAAAACCCAAATAAACAATATCATATTCCTTATCACTGTCAACTCCCTCAAATGTTCTATTGAAGAACGTCAGTAAGTTTGTCAGGCAGGAACGACCTCTCGCGAATCCTGCTGAGATTCATTTATCAAGTTATGCTCTTCAAGGTGACTTCTGATAATGTCAGCTATAATTGATTCTAATAACTTGCCCACTATAGATGTCAGGCTTTTTGGACGGTAATTTGAAGGAGTGGACTTATCCCCTGATTTGAATATAGGAACCACATTAGCCATCTTCCACAACTCTGGCACAACACTGGTAAGTATGGACGCATTGAATACACTCGTTAATGGCTGACTAAGCTCCATCTTGCATTCCTTAAGTACCCTTGAAAACAACTCATCGGGGCCCGGGGACTTATTTTGTTTCAGTTTGTCTATCTGTTTAATAACCATGTCCCTCGTGACAGTAATATTAGTTAACTTAAATTCATCAGGAACTAAATAATTGTTAATTACTGGAATCTCATTACTGGAATCTCATTTACATCTTCCTGTGTAAAAACTGACAAAAAATAGTCATTAAATAAGGAACACATTTCCAGTTCATTATCCGTCAGCTGTCCATTCCCAGATTTCAGAGGTCCTACTTTTTCCTTCACCTTCGTCCTATACACTTGAAAGAACCCCTTTGGATTAGTCTTTGATTCATTAGCAACTCTAATTTCATAGTCACGTTTAGCCTTTCTAATCGCCTTTTTTACTTCTCTTTTAAGCTGAACATATTGGTCAGTAAGGTTAACCTCTTTTCTTCTGATGCGCCTATAAATTCCCCTTTTCTCCCCTAATAGATGCTTTACCCTCCTTTTAAAACCCATTTGGGATCGTTATTTATTAGACCTAATTTCTCTCTGGGGAATGTATTTACTCTGGGCACTGTGTCATTATTAAGAAAACAATCATAAAAGCAGATCCCTTCATATTCATAAGAAATGATTATCGTCAATAAAATCATTAGCTAGATAACCCCAATCAAGATTAGACAGATGTTCCCTAAGTCCATTATAATCGGCAGAACGAAAATCAGGGATTTTTTACTGTATTATTTATTATTCTTGCATTCCCCAATTAATGCTAAAAGTGATGGATTTGTGATCACTTGCGCCAAGCTCTTCAGTGATCTCCAGATTATTCACGAGTGTTTCCTTATTTGACAAGATAGGTCTAGCAAATTATTACCCCTGGTAGGCTCAGTTACGCTCTGTTTCAGAAAACATCCTGAACTGTTTCCATAAAGCACTGGACTCTAGATTACCTGTCAAAGAATTCCAGTCAATTTGACTAAAGTTAAAGTCCCCTACTATGAAATATGTTACTGTGTCCAGAAGCCCTAACAATTTCGTCCCCAAAAAAGTCTCCCTCTATCGTGATCCAAGCCTGGAGGTCGGTATATTACACCTAGAATTAGTTTTTCTTGACCCTCCACGAACTCTACCCAAAAGACTCTGTTACTGCTCCTCTATTTTTATACCTGTTTTTATGCAACAATTAATTTTTCTCGAACATACAATGCAACTCCTCCCCCCTTCCCATTACATCTATCCACATTGAACAACTTAAATCCCTGAATTTTTACACTCAGCAGTCATATCCCGATCTTTTAAAACATACCCCCGTTTCAGTTAATGCCAAAAGACATCAAAGTTCCCAGCACATGCTACCAAACGTAGTTCATTAATTTTATTTCTTGCACTTCGACTGTTAGCTAAAATACCATCATATGTTTTTTCTTCTGCACATTTTTCCTATTCATCTTTGTTTTTACACAATTTCTGAAATTATCATTACCCAGAGTTACTCCATGACAGTTACTATTAAGATTCTTAATAGCAGTGCATAAGTCAATATATCCATACTCATTATTAATCATTTCTAAACCCATACCTCTAACTAATCCTAGTTAAAGTCCTAACAACCCCCTCAACTGAGTTAGCAAGAAAACCCACACCTGCCCTGGATAAGTGAACCCCATCCCTGGCATACATGTCATTTCGGCCATAGAAGTTGTCCCAGTTGTCAATGAATGGTACTGCATTATCCTTACAGTGTTTATCCAACCAACAATTAATACCAATTGCTCTGGACAACCATTCATTACCAACACCTCTTCTTGGCAAAATGCCACATATAACAGGGCGCCCCCCCTTCTTCCTAATTATGTCTATAGCTGTCCTGAACTTTCTAACTAAATCCTCACTTCTACACTTGCCTACATCATTGCCTCCAGCACTGAGGCAAATAATAGGATTGATCCCATTACCGTTCATGATGTTGTCAAGCCGGCTAACAATGTCCTCCATCCCAGCCCCAGGGAAGCATACCCTTTGTCTCCTACTCCTGTCCTTCAAGCAGAATGCCCTATCCATGTATCTAACCTGGCTATCCCCAACAACAACAATATTCTTACCTTCCTTGTCGTTCGTCGTGACGATCCCAGTAGTCGACTCACATTCGTCGGGTAGCACCGAGAATGCGTTGGAGGTTTCCACAGGAGTTTCCACAGCAGTCTCTTTCTTCTTCATCGTTTCTGGCTTTCCATTCGTCTTCTTGATCGTCAACTTCGTCGTCCCCTGCTGTCCAGCCACTGACCACGATCCCTTCTTGACCTGAGGACTCGAAACAGGAGGACTACTACGAATCCTCTTGTTTTCCTCGGTCAATCGCCGTATCTCTATCTTCGCTGCCCTCAATTCTTCCTTAAGTTGCTGGTAAAGTTGCTCGATGGAGGGCATCTTGGTTCAGTCCACGGGAGCAAACAAGACACTTCTTCACAGAGTTAAGTACAGGTCACCACTGTTAAGTACAGGTCACCACTGAGTTAAGTACAGGTCACCACTGTACTTATGAATAGGTATGAATAGAACAGGTGAAAGAAAAATCAAAAGGATTTTATAATTTATTTATAGAGAAACTGCAAATTAGTCAGAGATCGAGTCACATACCCCTAAGGGGAATGGATACCCCTGGTTAAGAACTCCTGCTCTAGATGATGGCTAGCAGCTTCATAGACTATAAGATCGAAATATGCTGCTAATGTAGCATACTCTGGTATGATTGATCTGTCTGTACACAAATCAATGTACTCAATACTCGACTTAATGGCTGTGGTAGTACCCATAAACTTTTGTCAATTACTCGCTAACTGTTGTGTAATATATTTTGGGCAATAAATCGTGTTTACTCGTTTGAGAAGAATATTTTTACTGTAATAATAGTTGTGAATGTTTCAATATAGGTATACGGTTATTGACTATTGCTTGGCATAACTCAGGTATTAGTTCATATTTTACAATAGATTCAACCATGTACACCATGCAATAAGTAAATATTTCTTGTGCAAATTTTGATTTAGGAGACATTAGCGAAAATATTAATTTCTTACCCAGGACTGTATGTGCAGTCTGAAAGTAAGTTTATTTAGGTACACTCAAGTACAATTATCACACCTAGTAACACTTATAAATTACCTAGGATAACCCCCAAAAAAGTCAAAGTGACTTTATTTCCATTGGGGTCCTTGTGGAGGCAGTCAATGTGTCGAGGATGATTGCATAGTTTCATTTCCCCCCCAGGTATTATATTGAGGGAGGTGAGGGGTGAATGACTGCACCTGCCAGCGCTGGCTCCTCCAATTCATGGCTATAAGTCTACCTCTTCAGTATTTTGACTTTACTGAAGGACATCATGTATATGTTAACCGTAGAACACAGTTATTCTATCATCATATACCATCAGTACTACTTTTTTTATAATTCTGCAGAATAATTATTATGATAGAGACAAGCGCACCGTCGATTTTTTATTATTTTTTTTATATGAATGTAGAAGTAACGATTTATATACTAAGTGTACGACATGGTGGAGAGTTATTAAAGTTGTGTGGAAGAGTAACAGTGATAAAGGATGTTAATGAGAACAGACTACATTGCTATACATGTCCACAACTCTCACTAGTGCCATCCGAGTTATTTTTAGAAAAAAACCCACGTTGTTTTCTGAATATAGGCTATGCGTACTTCCTGTAGCGCTCCTATGTAAACAGGCATACTCCTGATTCATGTGCCCAAAGGTGCATAATCTGATAACTAAGTTATTTAACATAGTTAGGGACACAAGTGTATCTTATCAGCCTGACTGGCCTTGGTGTTAGTGAGACTCTTGCCCTCAAAATATTAATTTATATGCAATAGACGTTATTTCAGAAAAATTCCAAGGTAACCTCAATGTATACTTTATCAACTGATCATTACAATAGACTGTATGGAACCTCGGAATAAATATATATAGAATAAAATGAATCTAAAATGCGGCGGTCTAGGTAGGCGACGCATTCCTCGCGATGACCACTGGCGAATTTTGCCTCATATATACTATATATTCCCTCGATTGATAATCAAGATATCTAAAAGCCTATGGTCATTAGCGTTAATAACACGCACTGAAGGGCCGATTCCATTAGATATTTTATAGGTTAGCGAGGGTAATGGAGGGTAGAGAGGTATAGGTAAGTTTGGGAACCGGATCGACCGCGCCTTTCCCATAATGCATCAGGAGCCGCAGCCACATAATATGGCGGACACTCTTGAAAGCGAGTTGGGTAATTTCAGCGATATTCGCGTGTTTTACATTCCCCCTGAGGTGGTAACTGGTGTAGGGTGTTGAGCAAGGTGCCGTGGTGCCCTGGAAAGGCTTCCCAATGTGCTGCTGCCTGCATAATTGGCACATAGGTGTTAAAGTACCTATGTGTCCTCATGATTGTTTACATTTAGCTCTCCTACAGGAATGGCGTAACACTCAAATGTAAAAATATTCACCTCCACCTCCAAACTTTCCCTCGGCAGCTACCCTATGTTATCACGCAGGTTTGGTGTTGTTTAGGGATATTTCATAACTATTGTGGGACTTACGGGTAGTGTACAGAGCTTAAAATGGTCAAAATCGAGAGTTCTGATAGACTGTCAGATGCGGGAAGGATTGACCTTATTTATTGCGTGCTTGATAATTGGTAGTCAGAACACAGGCTAGTTTTAATTGATAAGTAGGCTAGATTTTAACTTATGGAATGCATGTGTAAAGAAGGCAGGTTCTCATTATTATTATGTCAGGAAGAGTTGAATTCTACACCTGTTAGAAACTTGAGAGTATTGTGTAGTTGTGTAACTTTGTGTGTATTTTGTCTGTTTTCTCGGTGTGTTGTGTGTGTGCTGTCTACATGTGTTATATCTGTTAATTGTGTAATTAGCTACATCTTTACAGCTACAAAAGCAGAGCTATGCTGTCTGTGTATTGTGCTTTTGTATATGTTATCTCATTTTGGAATTTGTCTATGTATGTATGTGTTGGCTAGATGCGTGTTGTATGTGGTATCTGTATGTTGCATTTGTATGTGTTTGTGTTGTCTGTTCATAGATGTGTATGTGCAGTATGCCAGCATTTGTTGTGTTTGTGTGTTGCATTTGTGTACATTGTCTGTTGTATGTTCAATTTTAGTTTTGCCTGTTTGTATTGTGTTGCATATCTGTTACATGTACAATATTCACTGAGTTGCTTGCCAAGGATCAGGTCTGTTACTGGTTCTGCCACCATTACTACTTTGATCAGCATTTTTGGTTCTGGCCACCTGGGTTTTTATCATTTTGGTTAGTAAATTAGTTTATTTAGGTACAGTTAGGCAAATTTAGGTGATTACAGTTATCATACATAATAACATGTAAATTACCTAAGATTACCCAGAAAAGTCAGATAAAGTGATAGGCTTCTTGTAGTGTATAGTTTACCTTCCATATTTCAACCACCCTGAGACTTACTCCCTAACACCTCAGTGGCTCATCTCTCTTATCAGCTTCAACATATGTTATTTTGTCCTTTAATCGAGTCTATCTCTATCTGCTCTATTATTTCCTCAAAATTTTGTACATTAAACTGTTGTCTTCCCTAGTCAATTCTGCCAAAGGTTGTCAGGTTTATTTCAATCAGTCACTCCTCAGAGTGTATGCTGTTAAGTTCTGGTAGTAGTTTGGTTGCAGTATACCTTTTATTGTGAAAATTCTGATTAATTACACTGTAACAATTTTTGTTCCTGGCAAGTGTTATTTTCCAAATCCTTATATTGCAAAACAATAGAAAATGCCCATTATTCCTTTTAAACTTTGTTTTTGTGGCTTACAGGATGAATTTTTGATAAAAAATGGCTAAATTTCAATATTTTGCTAGTTTTGGATATAAAACAAAAACATATAATAAATAAAATTTACATAAAATAAAATTTACAAAATTTTTATTTTAAACTTAGTGAAACATATTTATAAAGTTAAAAATGAGCAGTTTTTCTAGATTTGCAGCATGTAGTCTCCCGTCATGTTTTCATTATAAGATTTCTGATATCTGTGCTCAAAGTCCATTATATCTTGGTGGAAGTGCTCCCCTTGTTCCTCTGAGTATGCTCCCATATTCTCCTTGAAATTGTCAAAATGAGCATCAAGGATATGGACCTTAAGGGACATCCTACAGCCCATTTGACCATAGCTTTTTACCAAGGTCTCAACAAGTTCCACATAATTGTCAGCCTTGTTGTTGCCCAGAAAGCCCTGTGCTACAGCAACAAAACTCTCCCAGGCTTCTTTTTCCTTCTTTGTGAGCTTCTTTGGAAATTCTGAGCACTCCATAATTTTCCTGACTTGTGGTCCAGCAAAGGTGCCAGCCTTCACCTTTGCCTCTGATAGCTTGGGAAAGAAGTCTTGAAGATATACCTGGAGTTTACCTGGAGAGAGTTCCGGGGGTCAACGCCCCCGCGGCCTGGTCTGTGACCAGACCGTCTGGTGGATCAGAGCCTGATCAACCAGGCTGTTACTGCTGGCTGCACGCAATCCAACGTACGAGCCACAGCCCGGCTGGTCAGGTACTGACTTTCGGTACTTGTCCAGTGCCTGCTTGAAGACAGCCAGGGGGTCTATTGGTAATCCCCCTTATGTATGCTGGGAGGCAGTTGAACAGTCTCAGGCCCCTGACACTTACTGTATTGTCTCTTAACACTAGTGGACACCCCTGCTTTTCATTGGGGGGGATGTTGCATCATCTGCCTAGTCTTTTGCTTTCGTTGTGAGTGATTTTCATGTGCTGCAGATTCTTTGTCAAGAGCTGTAACAAACTGTTTCATTAGCCCTAGTTTGATGTGTAATGGAGGGAACAGAGCCTTTTGAGGATCCACCAATGGTTTATGTTTAATATTATGTCTTCCTAATGAGAACTCAGCCCTTTGAGGCAAGTGCTTCCTCTGGTAATGTGTTGCTCTGTCTCTGCTATCCCACTGACAGAGATAACAGGGAAACTTGGTAAAACTCCATGGAGTCCCATCAAAAATGCCACCATTTTGAAGTCTCCAGTAACCTCCCAGCCATACTTATAGTTCAAAGCTTCCAGTAAAAGTCGACACTGTTGTAATCCTCCTTAAGCTGCACTGAATGAACCAAGGGATGAGCGGGATACTTGTTCCCATTTTGCAGAAGTACAGCTTTTAGGCTTCTGGAGTAGCTGTCAATGAAGAGTCTCCACTTATCTGGATTGCATACAATTGCAGTTGCATCAGACAGGCTTGATACATCATTACGGTAGCACAACCTGTCTTCATTGGTGAAGAAGCTTGAGAAATGGTGACGTTTTCTTTGGCTTGTCACTTGCACACTTTCATCCACCAAGTCCCACTTCTTGAGCCTTGAAATCAAAAGCTCAGTGTTTGACTTTGTCAAACCAAGATCTCTGATAGGGTCATTGAGGTCTGGTTTGGATAGTAAGGATTTCTCCCAACAGCTGCATCTGTGAGATCATAGTCTTGTTCACTGTGCTTATCTCCATGGACATTAACTGAAGGGCAGTTAATGTCCATGGAGATATGTTGTTTGGGTTATTATTGTCAATCCTCCTTAATAGTTTTATAATATATAGTTTGTGAGATTCTGAAGAAAAATTGCAGAGGGTAACAAAAAATTTAAGTAATGAAGGATTGAATATCAGATTGGAGGGAGGGAGTATGGAGGAAGTGAATGTGTTCAGATATTTGGAGGTAGACTTGTCAGCAGATGGGTCTATGAAAGATGAGGTGAATCATAGAGTTGACATGAGGAAAAAGGTGACTGGTACAATGAGGTATCTGGAGACAAGGAATGTTATTCATGAAGGCAAGAATGGGAATATACGATATTATAGTACCACTCCATATAGTATACCTGGAGAGGGTTTTGGGGGTCAGTGGCCCCTCTCCTTCTCCAGTGGTACCACTCACTAAAAAGTGCCAGTAAAGCAATTGCAAAGAATTACGGACCAATAGCACTAAACGTCCCGCATCATAAAAATCTTTGAAAGGGTTCTAAGAAGCAAGATCAAGAACCACTTAGATAACCAGCAATTACTAAACCAAGGGCAGCATGTGTTTAGAGCAGATCACTTCTGCCACTCACAACTATTGGACCACTATGACATGGTCTTGGATTTACTGGAGGACCGAAAATGCAGATGTAGTATACACAGCCTTTACCAAACCCTCTGACAGGTGTGATCATAGCGTAATAGCACACAAAATGCATGATAAAGGAATAACAGGAAAAGTGGGTGATGGATCTATAACTTCCTAACAAATAGAACACGGAGAGTAATAGTAAATAGAGTAAAGTCAGGGGCGACTATAGTGAAAATCTTTGTTCCACAAGGCACAGTACTCGCTTCCATCCTTTTCCTCATCCTTATATCTGACATAGATGTAGGCCACAGCACCATGTCCTCCTTTGCTGATGATACCAGAATTTGCACAAGTGCTATCCATTGCAAATCTCCAAGTGGACATTAACCAAGCCTTTAAATGGGCCTCAGGGAACAATATGAAGTTCAGTGAAGACAAATTTTAATTACTCCACTATGGAAAACTCTAGGAAATAAAAACTAGATCAGAGTATAAAACAAATTCCAACCACACAATAGAGCAAAAAACTAATGTGAAGGATCTGGGAGTGATAATGTCAGAGAATCTCACTTTCAAAGATCACAACAATGTGCCTCCCACATCTGCTAGGAAAATGATAGAATAGATAATAAGAAACTTCAAAACTAGGTGATACCAAGCCAATGATGATTTTCTTCAAATTGTTTGTTCTCTCTAGGCTGGAATATTGCTCTACACTAAAGCTCCTTCAAGGCAGGTGAAATTGTAGACCTGGAGAATATAGAGATAACTTTCACTGCAAGTATAAGTACAATAAAGCACCTAAATTACCGGGAACAGTTGAGGTCCCTTGACATGTACTCCTTCGAATGCAAGCGAGAGAGATGCATGATAATATACGCTTGGAAAATCTTAAGAAGGGCTAGTCTCAAATCTGCACATGGAAATTGCCCTATGATAGCAAAAGACTCAGCAGGTGGTGCAACATCCCCACAGTGAAAAGCAGGGGCACCATGAGTATGCTAAGACTGTTCAACTGCCTTGCAGCATATATATATGAGATTACCAATAGCCCCTGGCTGTCTTCAAGGAGCTGGACAAGCACCTAAAGTCAATTTCTGACCATCCAGGCTGTGGTTTGTTGTCGGTTTGTGTGCAGCCTGGTTGATCAGCCCCTGATCCACCACGAGGCCTGGTCATGGAATGGGCCATGGGGGCGTTGACTCTTGAAACACCCTCCAGGTATATCAACATTCTTATGTGGATGTGAAGCATGGTTTATGAATGTTGCGGTGGAAATGTCATGTCCAAGGGCAGTGTGTGGTGTGAATATTATGCAGAAAATTGTAGCTTGGAGATTAGAGAAGGTGCAGGATTACTAAAAGTATTATCCAGAGGTCTAAATAGGGGTTGCTGAGGTGGTTTGGGCATTTAGAGAAGATATAACAAAATAGGATGACTTGGAGAGCATATAAATCTTAAGTGGTGGGAAAATGGGGTAAGGGACATCGTAGTAAGAGTTAGAAAGACTGAGTGAAGGTTTTGTGTGCAAAGGGCTTAGACATCTGGCAAGCATGTGAGCATGCCAGATAGGAGTAAGTGGAGGCAAGTGTTGTTGGAGGGTGAGCAAGGTAACATTTATGAAGGGATTCAGGGAAACCGGTTAGCTGGACTTGAGTCCTGGAGATGGGAAGTATAGTGCCTGCACTCTCAAGGAGGGGTTTGGATATTTGGAGTTTTGAACTGTAGTACAGTGGACCCCCGGTTAACGATCACCTCCAAATGCGACCAATTATGTAAGTGTATTTATGTAAGTGCGTTTGTACGTGTATGTTTGGGGGTCTGAAATGGACTAATCTACTTCACAATATTCCTTATGGGAAAAAATTCGGTCAGTACTGGCACCTGAACATACTACTGGAATGAAAAAAGTTCGTTAACCGGGGGTCCACTGTATTGGCATGCCTGTGGTAAGACAGTGATGGATTGAGTGATGGTGAAAGGGTTTCTTCTTTTTTTCGGTCAGCCTACCTTGATGGGAGATGGCCAGTGTGTGTATAAAAAAAAAAGTTCTTTTTGTTGTCTTTTTGTTTTGTAGCTCCTGTTGGCCTGTTCTGAGTTTTAACGCAGTCCCTTGAGGTAACTCCCTACTTCCTTTTGTGAAGCCCTACTCAAATTTACTGTTTACCTATTTTCATACCTCTGTCATCCGCAGTTAGTACCCCTTTCATCTTCAGCTTTATCACTTGGTTTTTTATGGTCATCTTATGTGGTAGTGAAGTAGCTTTGGTTTAGTGTTGGCCTCTGATGCTACAATATGTCACTCTTGAATCTTTCAGCTTCCTTTGCCCTCTCATTGTTTGCTAAGGGTGAAAACAAGATTGAGTTTTGCCAGTTCATTTTCTGTTCATATTGTGGTTTCTCTTATATGCTGTCTAGTGAACTTTTCTATTAGTCTCCATAAGTCTGAGAGACTTGTGGAGACTAATAGTCACCTATGTTAAGGATCAGTCCAAAGATTGATCCTTAACATAGGTGAATTCCCTGCAACTCTTGTTCCTGATCATTAATGCTACTTCTCTTCTGTTTTCTCTCTCTCTCCTCATTATGGTACCCTTCTGGGAATATTAAATTGTTTATTATTCCTGAGAGCTTTGTCTCTAAAGTGGTATGATGTGTGGCTTCTCTGCTTATCTGTCCTTTATTTCTACACTTTTGTTTGGTATTTCATTTGTATTTGTAGATCACTAAATTCTGTAATACACATTTTCTGATTTCAGGTTCTGTCTAGAGTTTTTATTTTTTGTTGGATATTTGTATCTCTAGAAAGTGAAGTGAGGCAAGGGAATAGTGATGTTAGGATGTAAAGGAATGGCAGCAAGGAAGGAATATAGTGTGGTGTAGGAAAAGGGATAATGCATTTGAGAATGATGCTGTGGGTGAAAGGGAAAGTTGATTATGTGCTAAGGGAGGGGAGGGGGTTGAGTCTCTCATTAAGTTTTGTGGTATCCATACTAACCAAGGTCTTAGTGTCACTATTTTCCTATTATAAACTTGTACATAAATATGTAATTTAGTACAATAGTTGTATCATTTATGAATAATTGAATGTCTTGTACATTAGTTTGCCTTGTTACTTCATCAAAATTGGGTGTACAATATAATTAATAATTTTAGTGATTTTTTTAGGCTTTTGATATATTCTTACAAATTATTTTCTTGATTGAAATGTGTAGTGAGTGGGTCTTTGAGGTACCTCTAGCATGAAAGAGTAAGTAGTTTTACCTACTATAACAGTAATTATATAATTATTTTTATTATTTTCTGTTACTCACTGGCTATATCCCACCATGGTATGTCCCCCCCCCCCCAAAAAAAAAAAGGAAACCCATTCATCATCATTCATTCAACAGCTGTCTTGCCAGAAGTGCACAGGCATCACAATTCAAATGGCCCTTTTTGTTTATTGTTTTGTGTAACAATTCAGCCCCAGTTTATTTTTTTTTTTTTTTTTGGGCAAGTTGCTTCCAACCTTGCGAAAAAGGGTAATAATAAAGAATAATGAGTTACAATACTGTGGCTAGAGCAGTTCACCAAAAACCCACTAAAGAAAGGAACCCTTTGATAATGTTACAGTGCATCCTGGACCATTTTGTCAAGTCACATTGTGACTTGACAGTGGTCCAGGACAGACTGAATTGTCATCATGAGAGAGAGATTCCTCTCTATGCACATTGGGGCAAGTATTAAATGCTGAGCTGCTGTGTAAAAATCAGCAAGGGTCCATCTCACTTGCACAGCTCTGCATGTGTTCATGTGTAGCTCTTGAGTGACTGTGCGACATTACTGCACACAGCCACTCTGTAAGAAAACAGGAGCTTCCCATAATGTTTCTGAGAGCAGCATTTTACAGAGTAACTCAATAGTTAGTCTGTATTTATAATGTTTTTTTTTTATATGTTTTACATCAAGGTCAGTCAGCAGAGCAGCAAGCAGAGCTGCTTTTGACCTTCAAAAATGGTGGCTTCTCTTCATCATCATCGTCATCATCATCCTCAGCCTTTTCACAACCACAGGAATCACAGCAGGTATTGTATTGTCTTGTTATTCTGAAAACATTACTGCTTACCTAATTAAAAATTAAGATTTCTAAGAAATTTTAGCAAAAAATTTAATGTTTTTTAATTGGTGGGGTTTTTAACTTCAGGTGATAGTTTTCCCTGTGTGCTTGCTAATATGAATGATTTTATTTTTGAGGGATAGTTTGCTTTTGTGTAAGTGTGTATTACTGTACAGGACAACTTTGTATCAACAAGAGTATTGAATGTCATCATAGGTCAATGCATTGTAAATCTTACTTCATAGAAAATGCTTGTATTCTAGCCGTTTGTGCAGCAGATTTAAATCATTGGCGTTTCATTACACCTTCATCAAAGTACTGTAGTTGACCAACATTTTATCATATTGATTTTCTTTTTATATGCAACACTTATCAGTCATCATTTGGGCCATGTCATCACTTGCTAGTGAAGAGAATTTTTTTTTTTTTTTTTTTACACGGGTTTGACAAGGTTAAGGATTCCTAGATTTATTGACAAGCTGTTTACAGGCTAAGGATTCCTAACTTTATTGACAAGCTAAGAGCTGTTACCTACATCAGCTCATTTGAAAGCATTTTTACTGTTATGAAACATACAAGTATTTTTATTGTTATGAGACATACAAGTAAGGAACAGGATGAAGTTGGACCTATCTGTGGGCCAGCATTTTCATCTGATCAACTGACTTTATCTCACTGACATCATAATGCTGTACGAATGTGTTCCATACTCGAGTCATCCTGGGGATTAATGATCTCAGATACAGTGATGTTCTGGAGAAGGGTACAGCCAGAGTGAAGTTGCTGCTTTCAGCCCATCTTGTGGTATAGAAGCTTGCTTCACGATGTCCTCGAAGTGGATCCAAGTGTGGTACTTGACAATATTGGCCTTGTACATAACAGTAAGGCCACCCACATCCCTCCTGTGTTGAAGGCTCTGCTGAAATGACAGATCTATTCAGGATTGGTCCAGGCGAGAGATGAGACGTCTTGCTCTGTTCTCTACTCTGTCAAGCAGTCGCAGATGAGAAGGGGGGGCAGGCGAACCAAGAAAGTGGAGCATACTCAAGGTGTGAGCGTACTTGTGCCTCGTACAAAATCTTGCAACGCCTGCTGTCAAGCAGAAGCCAGATACGGCGAAGTGCTGTAAGCTTCCTGGCTGCCTTGTTTGCAAGATTTACAACGTGGTTTTTCATGGTCAATTTGGAGTCAGATTTCACCCCAAGGATATCAACTTGTTCCCCAGGTGCCAACACCCTCCCATTCATCCTTACTACTGCACTGGCATTACCATCATGGTGCCTAGAGACCATCATCATTTGTGTTTTCTCAGGTGCAAATGTTACTTGCCATCTATTTCCCCAAGCTGATATAGCTCTCAGCTGGTGATTGATGTAGCTTAGAGCAGCTGGCATTTCTTCTCTTGGATAAGTGAATGTCAGTGTACAGTCATCTGCATATGCATGGGATTCTGGGATGAGATGAAGAAGGTTATTGAAGTAGACATTCCATAACAATGGTCCCAGAATGCTTCCTTGTGGAACACTTGCCCCAATAGGATGTCTTGCTGAATCTGTTCCATTGAGAACTACCCTTAGAGATCTACCATGAGGGTAATCACTGAGGAGACATAGTGTAGAGCCTGCAATTCCCAGAGCTTGGAGCTTTGCTAAGAGGCCCTGGTGCCACACCCTGTCGAAAGCACCAGCAATGTCCAGTGCTATCACACATCTGACTTTGGATTCATCCAGTGACTGGTGCCACTTAGTGGAGAGGTTTAACAACAGATCAGCAGCAGAGTAACCTTTCCTGAAGCCATATTGACAGTCACAAAGTAGTGAGTGGTAGTCAAAAAACTGTCATTTGTCTTGAGATTATTGTCTCAAGGAGCTTGCCAGTGATTGACAGGAGTGACACTGGTCTGTAGTTGCTGATTTCTGCTCTGCTCTTCTTTTTGTGAACAGGGACTACATTTCCCTCTTTCCACAGAGAAGGCCATTTACACTGTACCAGGCAGTGCTGAAAGATGCGAGTTAGAAGTGCTGCTAGCTGGTCTGCACATCTCGGCAATCTTGGGCTCAACTTGTCTGGGCCCACAGCCTTTTCTTGGTCAAGCGATTTAAGAAGGAAATACACCTCTTCCTGCTTTATTGTCACCACTGACAGTTTTGACACAGTTCTTGCAGCTAGCCAAGGAGGGTCCCTTGCTGGATCAGGAACTTGCATTTTGGTAGCAAAGTGTTTGGCATAGAGGTCAGCTTTCTCTTGACTACTAGCAGAGGTGGTCCCATCCTGTTGATTTAGAGGTGGAATGAGTTCATCACGCAAATAACCTTGTCTGTCCTTGACCAGGGACCACCAGGTTTTGGAGCCTACCCTACCTGATGCTAGCTTTCTTTTTGTGTCCATCTCCCATTTAGCGATGGCCTACTTTTGAACGTCACCCATGTGCCTACAGGCTTGCCTGTGCAAGTTCCTGTTATAGGTGGTAGGATGTCTCTTATAACTTCGCCATGCCTTGTACTTAGCAGTAGCAGCCTCTTTACAATGAAAGCCAAACCAAGGCTGATCTACAGACTTCGTCACGTATTGCCAGTGAGGAATGTGTTCTTGCTGTAGATTAAGGATGTGTCCAGTGGAGAAGAGCATTCCAATCGGTGGTGGCGAGCTAAGAGCAAAGGGCTGGCCAATTATCTCTTTCCCATAGCCAGGTTGTGCGTGTGGACTCCTCACCTTGTTCTGTTTTGATCTTAACCCTTTCAGGGTCTGCAGGCCCTCTCAGAGACTTGTTCTCAGGGTCCCCCAAATTTCAAAAAAAAAAAAAAAAAAAAAAAAATTTCTTGTGAAAAGATAAGAGAATTTTTCCCAATCATAATGACACCAAACGTATGAAATTTGATGGAAAACTTACGAAATTACGCTCTCGCAAAGTTTGCCGTCTTGACGATGTTTACACATCGGCGATTTTGACCACTTTGAGCCCTATTTTTGGCCAATTCCAATGTACTAGTCGACAAAAATCATAACTATTTTGCTAGAACTCCATTTTTTCTATCGAATGAGTACAAGAAACCACCAATTTACCGATTTCAACTATCCAGTGCAGTGGTCAGAATTTAGCAATTTTGCCAATTTCACACAAATTTCAAAAGATGCCAATTTCCAAAAAGGGTCCAGAATAAACAAGGAAGACATTCCTGGCACTAAAATAACAAGTTCTCTGTTCGTTAGTCACATCCCTAGGCTCCTCTTGATATTTCTTTGACTTTCCACTTTGAATTATCAAGGAGTCGACTCCAGGCTGAGGGACTAATTGCCTCAAACTCCTCCTCTCCTTACGCCTTTCTACTTTGTATCGGACTGATGAAGCCACTGTGTGGCGAAACGTTTCCTGAATAAAGATTCCATATGTTGCATAAGTGTCTCAATCTTCAACTTGTGATGAATGGTTTGAAAAACCGACAACTGTCAGACACTGCAGCATCATGGGATCTTGTTACAAAGAATTCTTCAACACTTGTCCAACCTTTGGACGAAGACCTACTTCGACTAGTGGATGGTACCATTATGACCCCACCTCCTCCTGCTTCGCCTCACCTTACTACAGTATATAAGCCACGTCTACGGCCCTATGCTGTACATTCTACAAGATTGATGGACTGAACACATCGACTCCAGGCTGAGGGACTGATTACCTTAAACTCCTCCTCTCCTTACGCCTTTCTACTTTGTATCGGACTGATGAAGCCACTGTGTGGCGAAACGTTTCCTGAATAAAGATTCCCATATGTTGCATAAGTGTCTCAATCTTCAACAGCTATCATGTCGGGACGTTGAGTGTTCACAAAACTATGTGTGAGCTCTCCAACATTAGTAATGAAACCTCTAATGTTGGCCGACAGGATGCTGATAGACTGGCTCCTCATGATGTGGTCAGCTTGAGGTGGTGGGTGTGTAAGGCATGTAAGGTGCCTGTCCTTAAGAGAGGTAGGGTGCTGAGGCAGCTGCAGGGATGTAGGTCTGTGGTCTTGTATAAGGCACAATACCACCTGCTGGGCTCAGATAGGAGTAGCTGAGTGGGTGACGTATGAGAGCGTTTACCAATTCAGAGATCCTGCTGGTTTGTTCCGAGAACAGGTCTCGAAACAGGTGGTCCCGTCTGTCAAGTTCCTTTTTCTTCCAACACTGGTCCTCCTGATGTCCTTTCTTGTAGCAGTAATAGCACCTGGTATCTCGCAGGCAGTTGTTGGCGGTGTGCCCCTTCCGGTGACAGCGAGAGCACTGCCTAAGTGCCTGGGAGGGTGGACTATGATTTGTTCCACCTCCTGTGTTTTGCTGATTTGTCCTCAGGTTCTGCCGCTGGGACTGTGTTAGTGGAGGGTGAGACGGCTGTAGATATCTTCCTCCTCAACTTCCTCTTCCATGTCCTCTACCCCATCCTCTACCAGTTCTGACAGATGTGTCCCTGCTGTTCGTACTTTGGCGCAGTAGGTGTTCAGGTGCAGTGATAGTTCCCTGATTATTAACTGCACCAGTCTCTGGTGGAGAAAATCCTGACTCAGAACTTGCCGATGAAGCACTGCTGCCAGATGCTGGAATAGTGTCGGCAGGTGTGCTGACAGGTGTAGGATCAGAGATGGTATGTGCACTGTCTAGTGTACTGGCAGTGGCTGAAGCAGAGATGTCAGGTGTAGGAGAATTAAGAGATGCAAGGCTTCCTTCGTTGCTGGGAAGAGGATTTGTTCCCTCTGTGGTGGTCAGAGGAATTGTGTTAGAATTCCCAAACGTAGTGTTTTGAACCCTGTCAATCTGTGGGGCTTTAGTGATGACAGAATTCCACCAGTTATTTACCGCTGAGTTAAGCTCAGTGTGGGACTTCCAGTCTTTGTCAATAGTGTCACCATCAGCTGAGCAGCTTATGTCACTTGATGTAGGCTTGCACTGACCTTCTACAATAGCTTGAAGGTTATCTAATGATTTGAGGAGCTCATGAAGTGCTTCCCCCCCTCTCTCCTTCTCACTCTCCCCTCTCCTCCTTCTTCTCTCTACTCTCTCTCTCTCTCGTCTTCTCTCTCTCTCATTCTCTCTCTCTCTCTCTCTCTTTCTCTTTCTCTCTTCTTTCTCTCTTCTCTTCTCTTTTCTCCTCTTTCTTTCTCTCTTCTCATTCTTCTCCTCCCCTCCTTCTCTCTCTCTCTCTCTCTTTCTCTCTCTTCTCTCTCTCTCTCTCTCTCTCTCTCTCTCTCTTTCTCTTTCTCTCTCTTCTCTCTTCTCTCTTTCTCTCTTTCTCTCTTCTCTCTCTCTCTCTCTCTCTCTCTCTCTCTTCTCTCTCTCTCTCTCTCTCTCTCTCTCTCTCTCTCTCTCTCTCTCTCTCTCTTTCTCTCTTTCTTTCTCTCTTTCTCTCTCTCTCTCTCTCTCTCTCTCTCTCTCTCTCTCTTTCTCTCTCTCTCTTTCTCTCTCTCTCTCCTCTCTCCTCTCTCTCTCTCTCTCTCTCTCTCTCTCTCTCTCTCTCTCTTCTCTCTCTCTCTCTTCTTCTCTCTCTCTCTCTCTTTCTCTTTCTCTCTTTCTCTCTTCTCTCTCTTCTTTCTCTCTTCTCTTCTCTCTTTCTTCTCTCTTCTCTCTTTCTCTCTTTCTCTCTCTCTTCTCTCTTTTCTCTCTCTTCTTTCTCTCTCTTCTTTTCTCTCTCTTTCTCTCTCTCTTTCTCTCTCTCTTCTTTCCTCTCTTTTCTCTCTTTCTCGCTTTCTCTCTTTCTCTCTTTCTCTCTTTCTCTTCTCTTCTCTCTTTCTCTCTTTTCTCTCTTTCTCTTTTTCTCTTTTCTCTTTTTCTCTTTTTTTTTTTTTTTTTTTTTTACACAGAGTTTGACAAGGTTAAGGTTCTCTAGCTTTATTGACAAGCTATTTACAGGTTAAGGATTCCTAACTTTATTGGCAAGCTAAGAGCTGTTACCTACATCAGCTCATTTGAAAGTATTTTTATTGTTATGAGACATACATGTACAAGTAGGGAACACGATAAAGTTGGAGCCATCTGTGGGCCAGCATTTTCATGTGATCAACTGACTTTATCTCACTGACATCATTATGCTATACGAATGTGTTCCATACTCGAGTCATCCTGGGTATATATGATCTCAGATGGAGTGATGTTCTGGAGAAGGGTACAGCCAGAGTGCCCGTCTTGTGGCATAAAAGCTTGTTTCACGCTGTCCTCGAAGTGGATCCAAGTGTGGTACTTTGACAATATTGGCCTTGTACATAACAGTAAGGCCACCCACATCCCTCCTATGTTGAAGGCTCTGCTGAAATGACAGATCTGTCCAGGATGGGTCAAGGCGAGAGATGAGACGTCTTGCTCTGTTCTCTACTCTGTCAAGCAGTCGCAGATGAGAGGGGGGGCAGGCAAGCCAAGAAAGTGGAGCATACTCAAGGTGCGAGCGTACTTGTGCCTCATACAGAATCTTGCAACCCCTACTGTCAAGTAGATGCGAGATACGGCGAAGTGCTGTAAGCTTCCTGGCTGCCTTGTTTGCAAGATTTACAACATGGTTCTTCATGGTTAGTTTGGAGTCAAATTTCACCCCAAGGATATCAACTTCTTCTCCAGGTGCCAACACCCTCCCATTCATCCTTACTACTGCAACAGCATTACCATCATGGTGCCTAGAGACAATCATCATTTGCGTTTTCTCAGGTGCAAATATTTCTTGCCATCTATTTCCCCAAGCTGATATAGCTCTCAGCTGGTGATTGATGTAGCTTAGAGCAGCTGGCATTTCTTCTCTTGGATAAGTGAATGTCAGTGTGCAGTCGTCTGCATATGCATGTGATTCTGGGATGAGATGAAGAAGGTCGTTGAAGTAGACATTCCATAACAATGGTCCCAGCACGCTTCCTTGTGGAACACTTGCCCCAATAGGATGTCTTGCTGATTCCGTTCCATTGAGAACTACACTTAGAGATCTACCATGAAGGTAATCACTGAGGAGACATAGCGTAGAGCCTGCAATTCCCAGTGCTTGAAATTTTGCTAAGAGGCCCTGGTGCCACACCCGGTCGAAAGCGCCAGCAATGTCCAGTGCTACCACACAGCTGATTTTGGATTCATCTAGTGACTGGTGCCACTTAGTGGAGAGGTTTAACAACAGATCAGCAGCAGAGTAACCTTTCCTGAAGCCATATTGACGATCACAAAGTAGTGAGTGATAGTCAAAAAACTGTCATTTGTCTTGAGATTTTTGTCTCCAAGGTTCTTACCAGTGATTGACAGGAGTGACACTGGTCTGTAGTTACTGATTTCTGCTCTGCTCTTCTTTTTGTGAACAGGGACTACATTTGCCTTTTTCCATAGAGAGGGCCATTTACACTGTACTAGGCAGTGCTGAAAGATGCGAGTTAGAAGTGCTGCTAGCTGGTCTGCACATCTTCTCAGCAATCTTGGGCTCAACTTGTCTGGGCCCACAGCCTTTTCTTGGTCAAGCGATTTAAGTAGGAAATGCACCTCCTCCTGCCTTATTGTCACCACTGACAGTTTTGACACAGTTCTTGCAGCTAGCCAAGGAGGGTCCCTTGCTGGATCAGGAACTTGCATTTTGGTAGCAAAGTGTTCAGCAAAGAGGTCCGCCTTCTCTTGACTACTAGTAGAGGTGGTCCCATCCTGTTGATTTAGAGGTGGAATGAGTTCATCAGGCAGATAACCTTGTCTGTCCTTGACCAGGGACCACCAGGTTTTGGAGCCTACCCTACCTGATGCTAGCTTTCTTTTTGTGTCCACCTCCCATTTAGCAATGGCCCACTTTTGAACGTCACCCATATGTCTACAGGCTTGCCTGTGCAAGTTCCTGTTATAGGTGGTAGGATGTCTCTTACTCCTTTGCCCTGCTTTGTACTTAGCAGTAGCAGCCTCTCTACAATGAAAGCCAAACCAAGGCTGATCCGTAGGCTTCGTCACATATTGCCGGTGAGGAATGTGTTCTTGTTGTAGATTAAGGATGTGTCCAGTGAAGGCTTTCACTTGGTTGTCAACATCCCCTTGGAGAAGAGCATTCCAATTGGTGGTGGCAAGCTCAGTGCGAAGGGCTGGCCAATTACCTTTTCCTATAGCCAGGTTGTGCGTGTGGACTCCTTACCTCGTTCGGTTGGGATCTTAAGTGTCGTAAAAACAGCCTTGTGGTCAGACGATTCAACATAGCCGAGGGGTTGACAAGTGACTATGCCTTCTGCCAGATCACTCTCTACTCTGTCTCTCTGTCTCTGTCTCTCTCTCTGTCTTCTCTGCTTTATTTTCTTTAATTCTATGAATCTTTTTTCTTCATAGCAAGAGTATTAATAAAGTAATAAAATTACACAAGCTGGCTTTACCAGTTAATTTTTCCCCATTTATGAAGCATACTTGTAAGGCAACTAAATGTTTGCTCTTTCTTCAGGATTTCTCTCCTTTATCTGCTCTTGGGTTACATAGAGTGGGAGAAGATCGCCCATCCCCCTCCAAGGAGCCCAGCATCCAGCTAAATCGCAGAGGAATGGTAATAAGTTGTATAAGAATTTTACTATTTTTTTCTATACACTTTGTGTAATATAAAAAGCAAAAGGCTGTTTAAAAAAAAATTATTAGTATCAGCTAAATGGTATCTTCCTTCAAATTTGAGTTGAAAATAGATGGGCATGAAATGTATTTGGGAAGAGATAGTGATCTTGCTTCATGTAAGTCTTTTAATGTTTTCCATAGCCTGCTCGTATGAGAAAGAAAAACCGTTTGTATTTTGATGATGACCTGGTGAGCTCCCCAACACAAGCTAAATCACCGAAAAAGACTCCTCGTGGCACACCTAAAAAACAACCTAACCCACAGCCTCTACCACTTGCTCCAGTTAAGATGGTATGATTCAGTGAAGTTGTATGTGATATAATTTTGTACTCTTAGATTGTGTAGCTTAGAAACAACATAAGTCTAATGTCACACATGCAACAGGTAATTATTAAGAGATTAAAATTAAGACCCTTAATATTATTGTGCTATTCTTATTTGTGACCATATAACAATACTAAAATGCACAAAGGTGGGTAACTGGGCCATACCTTAGATAATGTCTTACATTACCATATTTTATTTATTAAATTTATCTTCTCAAGAACAGTATTGGCAATAGATGCTTACATTTTGTTTGCAGAGTGACGGCCTGAGTGGGATCCAGTACACTCCAGTCATTACCACGGTAATGTTGGGGGCTTTGCGGTATTCTGCTTCATAATTTGTCTTTTCAGTAGCTTAGAAATACAGTCTCTTAGCTTTACTTCTTATAAAGTATGCAGTTTTAATTTTATCTAGTCATATTGCTATCTTAAGTGGAAATACAGTATTAAAAAATTCTTAAAAGTTTTACCTTGCAGTCTCATGTGCAACACCCTTGTCATTCGATGACATTGACTTTAAAATGCAGGTACATATACACGAGTCAGTAACTTGTATTAAGATGGCTTCTGTATTTGCAACTTTAGGAGATATTAAATCAAGAAAGCATTGTAAGTAGAAGTCTAGTATCTCATTGGCTATGTAATAATTCATGAGGTGATTGCTGAGGTCTATCATCATCATTGGAATGACTAAATTGAGTATCATTACTCCCATTACACACATGCACACATTTTGATATAAGAATATTATAATTCTATTTTAGAAAGCTAAATTTAGGAGAATTTTTAAGATAAATTCTTAAAAATGAATGGAGGATTTTTTTGCTTTGAAAGGAAAATGAAAACACTTACACGATGACAGGTATCCTCTTGATGTAATCACTAGTGGAGCACCAAAAAGATTGGTATTGGTCTTAATAATTTTGATATAAATAATCAGTTGATTATAGGGACATGCTTTCCTCACTAATGCAACTTATATAATCACAGTATGGAAGAAGTGAATGTTTTGATCAGATATTTGGGAGTTGACTTGTCAGCGGATGGGTTTATGAAGGATGAGGTTAACCATTGAATTGATAAAGGAAAAAAGGTGAGTGGTGCATTGAGGTATCTGTGGAGACAAAAAAAAGTTATCCATGGAGGCAAAGAAGGGAATGTATGAAAGTATTGTGGTACCAACACTCTTACATGGGTGTGAAGCTTGGGTTGCAAATGCTGCAGCGAGGAGGAGGCTGGAGGCAGTGGAGATGTCCTGTCTAAGGGCAATGTATGGTGTAAATATGCAGAGAATTTGGAGTGTGGAAATTAGGAGGAGGTGTGAAGTTAATAAAAGTATTAGAGAGCTGAAAAGGGGTTGTTGAGGTGGTTTGGTCATTTAGAGAGAATGGATCAGAGTAGAATGACTTGGAGAGCATATAAATCTGTAGGGGAAGAAAGGTGGGGTAGGGGTCGTCCTTGAAAAGGTTGGAGGGAGGGAGTAAAGGAGGTTTTGTGGACGAGGGGCTTGGACTTCCAGCAAGCATGTGTGTCAGATAGGAGTGAATGGAGACGAATAGTTTTTGGGACCTGATGAGCTGTTGGAATGTGAGCAGGGTAATATTTAGTGAAGGGATTCAGGGAAACCGGTTATTTTTATATAGCCGGACTTGAGTCCTGGAAATGGGAAGTACAATGCCTGCACTTTAAAGGAGGGGTTTGGGATATTGGCAGTTTGGAGGGGCATGTTATATATGCTTCTAAACTGTTGTATCTGGGCGCCTCTGCAAAGACGAAGTGTTGAATGATGATGAAAGTATTTTCTTTTTGCGAATGTTTTTCTTTTTGGGTCACCTTGCATCGGTGGGAGACGGCCGACTTGTTAAAAAGAAAAAAATCGTTCATAGTTCAAGACTTCAAGAATTTAAAGGAAACGTTTTGCCACGAGGGACTTCATTCCTGAATTGTATGTGTGTGTGTATCCATGGTGTTAGTATTTCCATACTATTTACAACCCCCTTTTCCAATGTATATTCGTGGGGAAATGCTAAAACTGTAGGAGTCATGTAGCTTCTGTGGAGTGGAAGGTAATCAAATTTGATTCAAGGAAGAGTAGGGCATTTTCAGTTTCTTGGATAAAGATTCCTTAAAAAAAAAAAAAAAAAAAAAAATTGCGGGGCTTGAACTCGCAGTTAGTGGCTAAAGCGTCGGTGAGTTCAAGCCTCACCCGTGATATAGTTTGTTTGCAATCTTGTCATTACAATTACGCAAGTCAAGATTCTTTTGGGAGAATTAAGGTATTCCATCCTTCTATAAGAGAGCTTATGGCTCTCCTTGCTCCTGAAGATTGTGCCACCTTAATATTCCAATAGGTCTACCTTCTCGTCTTCCACTCATATGACTTGTCACATTTACCTGAAAATCTTCTTGTATGAACATTAGTGATTTCTGAGTATTCACAAAGGTAATGTTCCTGGAGACCCCACAGTTATAGAAAACTGTGAAGCTACTATAGTCTTGAAAACTATAACAGTGTTTGTTAGTGTATGCAGTAATGCAAGCATTGTTCATTACAACCAACAGTAGACTATGTGTAGGTGCCATCAAATAATTTTAGGTGCACTATGACAGAAAATGTTGTAATTGCTGGTGAGGGCACCAGACAACAAAAATCAGGAAGGTTGGGAGGCAGTGAGGGATGAAACATTGTATTTATTTTTATTACATCTCCAAGTGAATTATGTCTGCTAATTATTGCATGGATCATAACATTTGTTATGATCCATGCACTAGTTAGCATGAATCATTTTTTTTTTTTACCACATTGGCCATCTCCTGGTTAAATTTTAAAAGTACTGTACTGCAAACCTGCTCATTATTCAGAATACTCAACATGCAAGGAGATGTTGGAAAGACTAAAGAATGAATTATCACCTATTGTACCTGTGAAAATAGACCAGAAAAAAGCAAGTCTTTCCTGGAATCTAAAAGCCAGTTTTCTTGCACTACAATAGCCACATCTAAATATATTGAGTTTTTTTAATTGAAGCATATTATTCTGTTAGAAACTTCAGCACAGATGCTGCAAAAGGTATCTTTGTTGAGCTACACTGGCGGGAAAGGGTTGTGATTGTACTATAATTTCTTTAACCCTTTCAGGGTCCAAGGCCAAAATCTGAAGTGGTGCCCCAGTGTCCAAGAATTTAAAAAAAAAAAAAAAGTTTTATTTTTTCTCATGAAATGGTAGAGAATCTTTTTGTGAAGGTAATAAAACAAAAAGTACGATATTTGATGGAAAATTGACGAAATTATGCTCTTGCGAATTTTGATGTGTCAGCGATATTTACGAATCGGCGATTTTGCCGACTTTGACTCCCATTTTAGGCCAATTACATTATTCCAGTCGACCAAATTCTTTGCTATTTCACTAGTATTACTTCTATCGATTGAGCACAAGAAATCGCCAAGTCGACTGTTTCAACTACAAAATAAAGTGATCGGAAATTGGTAATTTGGCCAATTTAACACAAAGTCCAAAATATTCCAATTTCAAAATAGGGTCCAGAATAAACAATGTAGGTATTCCTGGCACTAAACTAACATTTCCTCTGTTCATTAGTTATGTTTTGAGGCTTTACAAATAAATTCCATTTTGATTTTTTATTCACATAATGAATTTTTATTCACACCAAAAAATAGAAGATTTACTGTTATGCAATATTGTAATAATTGTATAAATATCATCACCACATTTGTGAATGTATATTAGACCCACCAGCTGGCGTGTATTAGACGTGTGAGGTCGTTTGTTTACTCTTGAACATCGGCAAAAATTTAACATTTCCGCTACTTTGAGCTCAGTTTCAAGCCATTTCCAGTGCTAAAACCAATCAAAATCATCTCTATTTCTGTAATATGTCTTCCATTCTATCAAATGAGACCAAGAAATCGCAAATAAAACTATAAAAAACATACAAAAAACTGCAAAGTCGCTGTTTGTATCGAAAATCACGGTCTCAGTTTTTTTTCTCTCCTTATACACGGTGTGCTGCAGGATTTGTTTTATGTGGTGCACACATACCACATAGATGTATTCTCTCATATCTAGGCCCAAATTTACCACTCAAGTTTATCAGAGTGAGCTGAGCTCATGGCGTAGATCTATGGTTTGGACCCTGAACGTAAAGCCGTAGATCTACGGGACGGACCCTGAAAGGGTTAATAGTCTCTATTGATGATCTTTTATGGTGTATTGGACCCTGATGATGAAATAGTCACTTAGTCTTTGCATGATATTTCACCCTTAATTGAGTCGAGGCAATATTTGAAGCTTCCACTATGATTAATGTTGGTTAGTGTCAAGATTCAATTATCTGGTTGTATTTATTGCTGTTTCCATTGAGGTTTATTGTTAGTGCTTGATCAACAAGAACCTGTGACACTTTGTGTTGCTCCTTCTACTGTAAAGTGAAAGATATGTAATGATCTTTATAGATTTGTTGCATACCATGGTCCTCAGTAATTATTTTATTGTGGAGCCCATTGAAAAGGGTAACTTCTAGAGGTACTTTATACTGGAGACTACCCTTCCTCCACCTACTGAATGTCATGGTAAAGAAATTAAATATTGTCTCGAAGAGCAGTATCACTTGTCACCAGGTATACGTTCAAATTTCAGATACATGTAATATTTCACTTTGTAAACTATAGTTTACATGGGCATTCACTTGTGCACACTTTCATCTCTTTTACAGTGATGAAGAAAATTCTAAGGAAAAAATATTACTCAGTAGGTGGAGGCATTAATCTTAAGGATACAGGTACATATATTAAAAGATCAAATCATCCACCGGATATTTTGGTTATGGGCCAAAATACGTGTGTACCTTAATCTGGGCATTCAACCAACCTTTGCAGTAATGATTTGTTGGGAAATAATTAGATTTCACACAATTTGAGTATAAAACTATTAATTTTTTTTAACATGGCCATTTCCCACTGAGGCATGGTGATCCAAAAAGAAAGAAAAATCTTTTATCATCATTCAACACTTTCACCATCACTCATACATAATCACTATCTTTGAAGACGCACTCAGATTCGACAGTTTAGATGTCCCTCCAAACTGCCAATATCCCAAACCCTTCCTTTAACGTGCAGGCATTGTACAGTACTACTTTCCATTTCCAGTACTCGAGGCCGGCTAACCGGTTTCCCTGAGTTTATGGTCGTATATTTGTGTAAATTCAATTATTCTGCTTTAGGCTTCATATTTGTTATAAAAACATAAATTATAAAATGTTATATTGAATGTGATTCTTTTAGTATGTAAGTAATTAAATA